ATGTATGGAACACAGGGAAATAACTGAGGCATCTCTTGGGTATACTATGTTCAGTGGGCAAATAGAGAAAGAAAACAAACAAAAAATACGGATTCTACAATTGGAATTGATCTGATAAGGGACACTCTATAGGCATGCCCCTTCTTATGCAAATTAAAGAGATTAAGCTATGTTGAATGGAATTCCTGGCTCCTGGCTTCGGCCTGGCACAAACCTGGCTGTTATACCCACTTGGGGGGTGAACTAGCAGATGGAAGCTCTGTATCTCTGTCTCTATCTCTGCCTTTCAAACGAACAAGAGACTCTTTTCAAAGCAAGTCATGTTGAGATTGGACTGATGGAGTACAGGAAATGTTTAACAAGGGATGTAGTATTGATTATATTGAATTGCGGCACAGGTCCTTGTTTCTGTGATATGTGACTAATATGTACATATTTTGTATAAAATAATGTCGGGTTATGATATGTACAGAAAAGTTACATAGGTCTTCTACTTTCAACCTCAGAAGACGTGTGGTACAGGAAGTAACAAGGAGAAGTCCATCTTCCAGGTAGCACAACTACTATGGTTCTGAGGGATGATTCAAACCCATGCCTATTGAGTTCTAAATATATTTTTTCCTCACAACTCCTTAATGGTACATCAGACACTGGTGAATAATGTTTCATATTGTTTTTTTCTGGGTGCTGTTAGATGGATAAGGTAAACTCTTTGTGTGGGACAGTGAGGTGCAGTGCTGCCTGAATTTGGCTCCATTTATACTGAGGATAAAACAAAGGTAAATGACAGGGGAAGGCAGTATTTAAATTTATACTCTTGCTGTTCCAATAATCCAAATAAATGAATCAGTTTGTTAGTAAAGATAGCATTCAGGGAAAAGGAGAGAAGATGCAATGAAGATTCAAAATAATTTAATAGGAAGAAAAAAGTGTGAGCTAAAAAGTCAGGATATTGGGTTTTGGGAGATCATGAAAAGGAAACGTCCTTATGGGTCTCTATTTTTTGCTCCTCATGTCTTTTTTTTTTTCTTTTAAAACTTTGGTCTCTGAGGGCAGGCACTGTAGTGTAGCAGGTAAAGCTGCCACCCGAGACATCAACATACCATATGAGTATTCATTCATGTCCCAGCTACTCTGCTTCTATCCAGCTCCCTGCTAATGCCCCTAGGAAAGCAGTGGAGGATGTTCCAAGTGCTTGGTTCCCTGCACCCACATGGGAGACCCAGAAGAAGCTCCTGGCTTCTGGCTTCAGTCTGGCCCAGCTCTGGCCATTGCGACCATTTGGGGAGTGAAACACTGGAAGGCGAATCTCTCTTCTCTCTCTCTCCCTCCCTCTCTCTCTGTAACTCTGCCATTCAAATAAAGCAAATAAATATTTCAAAACCCTTTGATCTTTAAGTAGGAAACATAGAAATGTTTTGCTCAATATCTATTAAATGTAGCCCAACTAGAAGGAGAGCTAGCTGTTGGAAGGACAATCCAATATGCTGTGTTGAGAAAGCCTGGCAGTACTTTTGATTTTCCATTTATACCAGTACAATAAGCAAATGGCATGAAGGAAAGACTAATCCCAGAACAATTTAAATATCTTTGCTTTGAAAATTACATCTTTATTGAGCACTGTCTTTAAAAAGTTAAAGTAGTGATGCCACAGAGATTTATCCTCTTTAATAAGAATTAGGAATCTTTTTTAAAATCACAGACTGTATTTCAGAAACAACCAGGTAAGATGTGAATTAACAGAGAAAAATGTACCAGAATAATGAAAAGCACAGCATAGACTGCTTTCCTAACACAGCTTAAATTTTTATAAAGTTGACAAATCTTTTGTCCTATGTATTTAATAAGATGCTATATAAAAGGTAGACATCAATATTAACACTGAATTGTGATATGTGTTTACTTATGGCCACACGTGTAGAAATTTGTGTAAATCAGTGTTGGAATAGAATTCACAGATGCTATTTTAGGGAATAAGTAAAATATTTAAGTCCTTTTATAAAACAGAAGTGTAAAGATACTTTATAATTTGCCATCACCCAGCATTATTGAAACTTTGATTTAACTGTTTTAAGTGTTTATAATTAATTTTACATTGATGCATAATAAATAATAATTAATACCGAAAAACAACACATATTAAGGGACTTAAAAGAGTTTATGGACAAGTGGAATTAAAAGATGTGTCTACATATCATGCAAAAAAATTTGCACAGTGGAGCCAGCGCTGTGGCACAGTGGATTAACACCCTGGCCAGAAGCGCCGGCATCCCATATGGGCACTGGTTCAAGACCCAGATGCTCCATTGCCAATCCCACTCTCTGCTGTGGCCTGGGAAAGCAGTAGAAGATGGCCCAAGTCCTTAGGCCCCTGCACCCATGTGGGAGACCTAGAGGAAGCTCCTAGCTCCTGGCTTCGGATCAGCACAGCTCCAGCTGTTGCTGCCAATCGGGGAGTGAACCAGCGGATGGAAGACTCTCTCTCTCTCTCTCTGTAACTCCGACTTTCAATAAATAAATAAATCTTTGAAAAAAAATTGCACAGAGATGGAATTTTCATATAATGTGGTTTATATGGAGAGTGGCCACACATCGCTTTGCTAAATTGTTCTGTTCAGAAACAACACACAGGTCCCACCTGCACTCAAGAAGAGAGTATAGGGTCTGCGCTGTGGCGCAGCAGGTAAAAGGGTGCAGCCTGCAATGCAGGTATCCCATATTGGCACCGTTTCCTAGCCCCACTATTTCACTTCCAATCTAGCTCTCTGCTAATGGCTTGGGAAAATCAGCAGAAGATGACTCAAGTGTTTGGGCCCCTCCCACTCAAGTGGGAGACCCAGGAGAAGCTCCTGGCTTCAGGTTTCTGCCTGGCCCAGCTTCTGGCTATTGTGGCCATTTATGGACTGAACCAGCAAGGGAAGATTTTCTCTCTCTCTCTCTCTCTCTCTCTCTCTCTCTCTCTCATTGTCTCTCCCCATTATCTCTCTGATTCTGCCTCTCAAACAAATGAATAAATCTTAAAAAAAATAAAGAAGAAGAAGAGGGTATTCCATTAAGGTATGAACAACAACAGGAAGTAGGAGTCATGGAGGGCCAAGTTAATGTCTACTTGCCATAGAATTTATATGACTATTGGCAGGATATATACATAGATAATGTAACAAGGATTCTAATCTAGTGAAATATTGCTTTAGTTCTGAATATACGCTACTTGTTTGGTTCAATAGTTTTAGGGAATCTTTAGGGTCAATAACTATCAGATTTGACCCACTGTGCTGTAAATTTAATTTTATCTCCAGTTTCATTACAAAGTAAATAATTCACCTTTTAAATTAAGCAAATTTAGGATGAAATTCTAGCTTTTTATCTATGTCACTAAACATCACATTCATAGTTATATTCTATAGAACAATTGAAAATAAATAATAGTAATATTTTTCCTCCACAAATTACTGTTGTTAGGCAAAATTTTAGATTTTCTTTTTACAGGACATTTATTTGTGAGAAAACAAGGAGCACTTTCTAGTTCAAACTCATGGGTCTTGATCTAAATTTTTACTGGAAAATGCATCAATTTCTTGTACTATGATGAGCACCAAGTGGATAAGTATTGCTCTGATGTCATTTGAATTTCCAGTTCAGTTTATAGGCTATTTTGGTCTTAAAGCTTGAGATCCAAACTGGGGGTGGGGCTAGGAGGATGATCAGACTACAAGGAATTTTTTTAAAAAGACAGAAAGCTTTTCCTAAATACAAAGAGTCTCATGGTGTCATTGAGAGGGTCATTTAACCAAACAAAACCAATTTGTGCTACATTATTCTCCAAGGATATGAAACTTTAAGTCCTACTAAATTATTTAAAGGAATCCTCCTTAGTTCATCAGTTATTGATTGAATGTCTACTAACTAAGAAAAGATAGCTTTTCATTACAGCCTTATCTTTGGACAAATTCACACATCCATGAATAATGTAATTTTAAAAGAGGAAACTGATAAGAATATTTTCTCAGTGTCCTGACATTTCAAAAGGTCACAGAAAATGAAAGAGTAAATGTATTATATTTCTGTGAGGATACAGTTGCATATTTCTCTGCTCAATTGTTTTAAGATCACTTATCCTCATAGACTGCATTTGATATAAATCAATTATGCACTGGTTATTTTTGGGGGGAAGAAAAGAGACACAAAAGTAAATGATCGGTCAAATTGAAATTACTTTCTGTGTTTGTATATGAAGTTAGTAGTTTCAGGAGCAGTTTGATTTTCTCATGTTTATGATGTAACTATGTTTTAACTAAAAATTAGGTGATTTAAGAAGTCTCAAAATTCGCCAAGTTGATTCAAACTATTTATCATCATTTTTGCAAAATCAATATAGTATTACAATATTGGTTAGCGAATATCTCTTGTATAGAACTTGAAATACAGATGAGAATAAAATGCATGAAGTAATAAAATGTCAGTTACTTTTAAGTCTCGGTTGCTTACAGTTTTTACATAAGAACGGCTTCGTTCTGAGTCCTTTTTTGATTTTTCCTTTACTGCTGAAAATCTCTGTAAATTTTGTGCAATTTTTCTTTTTTTTTTAAAGATTTATTTATTTTATTTGAAAGGCAAAGTTACAAAGAGGCTGAGAGAGAGACAGAGAGAGAGAGAGCCCTTCCATTTGCTGGTCCACTCCCCAGTGGCCGGAGCTATGCCAATCTGAAGTCAGGAGCCAGCAGCTTCTTCCGGGTCTCCCACATGGGTGCAGGTGCCCAAAGACTTGGGCCATCTTCTACTGCTTTCCCAGGCCATACCAGAGACCTGGATCAGAAGTGGAGCAGCAGGGACTCGAACCGGCACCCATATGGGATGCCAGCACTGCAGGCAGCAGCTTTACCCGCATGCCACAGCTCTGGATCCTCTGTGATTTTTTTTGTCTTTGAAAATTATTGATGTTGTCCAAGGTCAATAATAATAATAGACTAAATATTAAATGAGATTAATATGTAGAAGGTGGATTGATGGTGACTCCACCATAGTCACTGCTCAGAAAAGCTGAATAAAATGATTAAAAACTCATAACCGTCTTTCTCAGTTTAACTGAGATGATGTCAAAGGCACGAGCCCTAGAGCTGCCTCCAGAAAATTTTAATGTGAGTGCCATTCTGCAGCAATTCTAATTTTAGGTCATCAGTATCTCTGAGGATGTATTTCTCCATGTTCAACATAACAGTCACACTGTCAAAATACCTAGTGAGTTATACTAATCCACCATATAACAAAACTTTTGTGTGTTATTGCTGGATAATATTGTGAATAACAGTTTTTCCTATGAAATTTAAGCTGCATAATATAATTATAAATATAAATCTGGGTGGTGTTTTTATAAGAGATGAGAATATTATAAATCAATTATTCTAATTAGAAATATCCCCAAACCCAATGTTACTGTCAAAAATCCACATAGCAAAATAAAATGACAAACAATATATTGTATTATTTATATGCTATCACTTATTTTCATTTGAAATTTTTGTTTCAATTATTTGTACAAATATTACATTATCAATAAAGCAGAATCCTTACTGCACATTTTCCAATGAATATTTAAGAAGTGAATAATATTTATATGAAAAGATAATGAGAAATCTACTTCCCATATTTCTCTCTAGATTTCTCCTTTTTACATATTAATTATTGTCTTAGTGTTTACTCCCATTTAGGGATTATTTTAACTTTAAAATAAATAATGCCTACTTACTTTGTATTATTGACAGTTTATTGTCACTTAAATATTTTATTATTTATCTTATTATTTAATGCGACCTTAGGCTCCAAATATATATTTCACTGAAGCAGTAAAAGGAATATATTTATAGGATTATTTATGGGATTAGACTGTATATCTTTCTCAAATATACTGGTTAGTATTCATTAATTTGGAGTAATATTATTGCATACTTTAATTTGATCTTGTAATAGAATTTGAAGCAGGAGATAATTTGCTGATTTTGTTTAGATAGGAGAAGATTTTAGCTTCTAGTCATTGATATGCCTCATTTTTTTCTAAACCTGAGAAAGCAAAAGTTTGACTCAGTAAATATAAAATTTTAATGTTTTTATAATTTAAAAGTTAGGACAATTAAAATATTAAAATTTTTTGTAGTTAATGAAAATCTAGTAATTATTTTATTTTCCATGCACTGAAAATTGGCATAAATCAAAGTGCTATTCTTATGTAGATGTTTCAAATCAGTGATTAAATGCTTCATAATATTAATTTGTATAAGAATAAAATAACACTCATTATGAATAATATAGAAAAGTGCATCTACAAATACACAGATACACACATATATACATATACAACTGCATATAAACAATTGAGCTTAAATCCATTATATTTTAAACATTGATTGAGGTGAATAATACTGTTTTAAGAAATTGTAAAAATTATCTTCTTCATTGAAGCAATTTTTCATTTTCTTGGGAGGCTCTTTGTGTGATATAGAATTTCATACTGGTCAACAGAGTTTTAATCTCAAGCCCCGTTAGGCTTGTTTAAAAAGATTAAGGCAGGATCTTTTGTCAATTAGAAAATTGATTCAGTTTTCAAATGGGGTCAAACAATTCCAAAATTGCAGTAGTTTAACTGCAATACTAGGAAGTGCCTGGCTGTGGAGACTGTGACAAGCAGGGGAATTAGCTGGCATGCTCCCTTTCTATACATTTTATGTGTCTATAGACAGTATGAAGTAAAAAGTAAAATTAATTGATGAAGCAAGGTACTGTGTTTGCTTTATACTTGTACTATTTGATTTAATCAGATTTTATTCTTCATAGGAACCCTGTCATGGAGCAATGAAGTAGGACTATTTTAATGTGAAAAAGTGAAATTTGTAGAACTTAAAAAAACTTATTTTTTCCAAGGCCTAAGTCTAATCTTACACCAAAGTGCATACTTTGGAGGCTGGTATGGGTGGAGTGGATAGAGGGAGTTTGGATAAATAACAAAAGTAAGGGAAGCTGGGTGTGCTTTATTGATTGTGACAAATAGGTCATCCTGATATGAGATATTAATAACATGAGAAGTTGGGTGTGGTGTATAGGAGAATTCTGTATGACTTCCCACTTTTTTGTTTTTGCAAATTTAAAGCTATTCTGAAATAGAAAGTTTATTAAAATAAATAAACTCAGGGAAAAATCCCAGAGGAAATATTTCCTAATATAATGTTAAAAATGACTAATAGATAAAGCATGTATTCATCTTCAGAACAGAATTTATAAAAATGAAAATATATGGCCTGAAGCTATGAGGTTTCAAATAAATGGGGTAGAAACTTTAATATTGTTCATTGGTTTTATGCAGCTTAATTGAAAAATGACAGTATTTAGATATATAAATGTAACATTTGTCTGTTCATTGTTTTCTTTTACAAATACTATGTTTGACTGATTTTAGTGAAAATTTTGAAAGACAATACTATATTAACTGAAATAGCATTATAGAATGATTTAATGATGAGTAATTATTTTGTTTACTGGCACATGAAGTTTCAATATTCCATGAGATAAATCAATTTTAGATTATTTTTTGTTAGTGGAGAAGATATTTGTATTTAACACACTCCATCCTTCTTCTTAAAAGTATAGCAGAATAACCCAAAATGCATAAAAATAAAACTTATTTTAGTTTGATATCATAATCACCATGTTTTTATATGCAATCAACCTCTTAAGTATTTAAGCATTTTACAAAATTTAATGTTTAAGTTAAAGTTTTTAGAACAAAAGATCAACCGTCAGCTTGGTCTGTAAAACAAGCAGACACGACGTCCCTTGTCTGTACATGGATTCATCACACCTTAGTGCTTAATCGTGTAAAGACGAAAAGGTTGCTCCATAGAGAGAAAATATAATAGAAAAGAAAAAGAGTTAATTCTTTGCCCATATATTACTCTATGTCAACCCTTGACTTCAGGGACACAGTAATCTCTCCCCTGAAAGAGGAAACCTAAACATTGCAATGGCTTGGGACATAGAAAAATCTCATGAGAAATTACTAACTGAACTAGCAGTTTTGTATACCTGTCTATGAGCAAGGTGAGTCACAACTTTGAACTTGCACCCAGCCTTTCAGTAGCATCTTCTGCTTCATGTTTTGATCCTATTCTAACATTACATTCAACATCTCCTGAGCGTGCATTTGTATTGTAAAATCTCTTCCAAAAAAAGGCGCTACCATTCACTTAGCAATTTCAACGAGTGCACGTGGTAATGACTGTCACTGTCTCCCCTTGTTTCTCCAGTTCTTTGGAAAAAGCCTTTGGAAATTTCTGTAAAACTGTCTTGATAGTTTATATTCTCTCCTCACTGGAGAGAACCTCCACTTTGACTATGACCTTGTCTAAACAAGATAAGAGTCGGAGAACTCAGAGGGCTTCCATAGCCTTGGAAACTCATGACTGGAGCATAGGGAGATTACTGATGCCATAAACAGGAGTGTCAATTTGTAAAGTCAACAACAGGAGTCACTGTGCACTTACTCCTCATGTAGGATCTCTGTCCTTAATGTGCTGTACATTGAGATTTAATGCTATAACGAGTACTCAAACAGTATATTTCACTTTGTGTTTCTATGGGGGTGCAAAAGGTTGAAATCTTTACTTAATGTACACTAAACTGATCTTCTGTAAAAAAAAAAAAAAAAAAAAAAAGAAATTATCAATTCCCAACTCGACTCTCACTGGCGATAAACATGACAATAGGTCTGATCTGATTTCATCATCATTTAAAAAAAAGTCATCTATTATTTTTCACTTTATGTCTCTGTGTGGGAGCAAACTGTTGAAATCCTTACTTAAGGTATACTAAGCTGATCTTCTGTATATTAAGATAATCGAAAATGAATCTTGATGTGAATGGAAGGGGAGAGGGAGTGGGAAAGGGGAGGGGTGTGGGTGGGAGGGACGTTATGGGGGGGAAGCCATTGTAATCCATAAGCCGTACTTTGGAAATTTATATTCATTAAATAAAAGATAAAAAAAAAAGAATCCAAAAAAAATAAATAAAAAAATATATATTCTCTCCTCACTGATACTAGAAAGAAGGATCCATTTGTTTGCTTTATTTTCCCCCCAAAGAAGCCTTTTATTTAAGCAATACAAGCTTCATGCATTTCATAAGTACAACTTTAGGAATATAGTGATTCTTCCCACCCACACTCCCACCCTTCCTCCTCCTCCCTCTTCCATCCCTAGTCTCATTCTCCACTAAGATCCATTTTCGATTAACTTTATACACAGAAGACCAACTCTATACTAAGTAAAGAGTCCAACAATTTGTGCAAAAAAATAAAAATAAAAAAGTGTTCCTCATATTTATTTGCTTTAATGTTCACTTTTTAAAGCATTCTGAACCATTGCTATTATCTTATTGCATGGTGTTTTGGCATTTAAAACATGCACCATTTACCAAAGGAAATCACAAAAGATGAATATGAAGATTTAACTGCAAAATTGTTCATGTTTACTTTATTTATAATGTCTAGATTTGGAAAAAGCCCAAACAGGAGTTGGTTAAATAAATGTGCAGGATACGCAGTTGTATAAAAGTTTGATGGCATTCTACATAGACAGAAAATTACTCATAAGTTATTAAAGCTAAAATATACACTATCAACACAGAATGGTGATTACTGGAGGCTGGTATGGGTGGAGTGGATAGAGGGAGTTTGGATAAATAACAAAAGTAAGGGAAGCTGGGTGTGCTTTATTGATTGTGACAAATATGTCATCCTGATATGAGATATTAATAACATGAGAAGTTGGGTGTGGTGTATAGGAGAATTCTGTATGATTTCACACTTTTTGTTTTTGCAAATTTAAGACTATTCTGAAATAGAAAGTTTATTAAAATAAATAAACTCGGGGAAAATATACACTTGCAAAAAATGAAAATAAGGAGGAAAAAATAGCAAAAGCACAGAATTCATTTTAATATAGTTATTTATTATTTGAAAGGCAGTGAGAGAGAGAGAGAGAGAGAGATAGAGAGAAAGGAGTTAGAGAGAGAGAGGAGAGTCAGAGAGAGAGAGAAGAAACAGAGAG